TCATGTTTCCGTGTGACAAAAAAAAACATAAAAAAAAAGAATGACAGGAATGCTGGACAGTGTGTATATGTTGTTGTGTGCTTCCGTACGCTTTTTTCGAGCATTTCCTATCTCATGTAGGCTTTTACTTTTCCGAAACAAATCTTGAATACCTTGATGTCCGCTCTTCAAGGATTATCTCGCCATAACCTATGTGAGGTCAAACGCCAACCAGGGCATAAGAGGCAAGGCGACAATGATGATCGAACTCCATTCGGCTTGACTATGTGTTTTTGAGCAGAAATGACTCGATTTTCGCAATAATTTTTATGGAAGAAATACTGAGATACTACATATGCCGCTGGATAGCATTTGGAACGTCCTTCAACACGCACATACGTACCTTGTTCCCACCCTAAACTCCCTCCACGGGACGCTCTTCCATCTCTTCTACACGGGACGGAGAGGGGCCTCGTTTCTATTGCTGGGTGGACGCCTGTCGAGAATGAGCGTTGTGGGAGGTGAAGGACAACGGGATCAAGCAGCCTCGACGGCTCGGCGAGAGCGTGTCGGGGGAGTCTTTCAGTAGTCCTGCGCAACCAGGAATGGATCGCCCATATCCCCAAGTTTGGCGTTTTACCTAGCGGAGCCTAGTACAGTACCTCAAACTCACCTCGTTTCTATGGCTGCTGGCTGCCCCCCGGGGTGGTCTTCACCTTTTGTACACGGGGACGGAGAGGGGCCCCGTTTCTATGGCTGCTGGGTGGACGCCTGCCGGGACTGAGCGTTGTGGGGGATGAAGGACAACGGGATTGAGCAGCCTCGACGGCTCGGCGAGAGCCGTCGGGGGAGTCTTTCAGCGGTGCTGCGCTACCAGGACTGGATCGCCCATATTCCCAAGTTTGGCGTTTTACCTAGCGGAGCCTGGTACAGTACCTCAACTCACCTCGTTTCCATGGCTGCTGGGTGGACGCCTACCGGGACTGAACGTTTTGGGAGTGAAAGGACAACGGGATCGAGCAGCTTCGAGGGCTCGGCGAGAGCGCGTCGGGGGAGTCTTTCAGTCGTCCTGCGCAACCAGGAATGGATCGCCTGTTTGAAGCATTTTACCTAGCAGAGCCTGGTGCAGTACCTCAAACTCACCGCATCCGTTTCCATGCTGCTGGGTGGACGCCCTACCGGGATCTTGAACGCTTTTGGGAGTAAAGGACAACGGGATCGAGCACTATCGAGCTCGGAGAGAGCGCGACGGGGGAGTCCCTTTCCATGTCCTCCTGCCAACCAAGAATTGCGCCTGTTTTGAAGCATCTACCTCAGCAGAGCCCTGAGTGGCACGGTTCACCCCGGTCAAACTCACTCCTCGTTTCCCTACTGGCTCGCTGCCTAGCCCCCCCCGGGGTGGTCTTCTCCACCCTCTGTCACCAGCCGGACGGCACGCGGGAGCAGGCCCCGCCACGCTTTTAATGTGCTCGCGATGGTGACGCCTGCAGGGACATGGGCGTTGAGGGGAGGGGGCTGAAGGCCACAATCGGCGAATCGAGAACAAGCACTTCCGAGTGAGCTTCGCGAGAACCGCGTCGGGGCACGCTCGCTCAGCGTCCTGCGCAAACCTCAGGAGGGGCATCGCCTGTTGAACCTTGTGACCTACCAGGTGATTGCGTACACGCACCCGTCAAAACTTGGGAGAGGTTCGCAAAACAAGTTTGAAAAATAATTAAGATCGCAAGACATGGTGCCCCCTGAATTTTTTGGAAAAAAAGAAAACGCTCCCCCATCTCGGTTATAATTTTTGAAAAACTCCATAATCGTCTGTGGCCATAACTAAGAGTCAACTTTTATACATAGAAGGCCAAATGCAGGCTTGCTGTTCTTCTGGCTTTTTGTTTTTCTGTCCGTGCTTTCACCAGTACGCTGCTTGCCCCTTGCCTTACTATTTCCTTGTTGCTTGGCGCGAATTCCAGTAATTGCCGACATTATTCGTTGCAGACTTTTCTGAGCAAATATCCGTATGTTCACGATTCGGTTACTCTCATTTTCAAGCAAACAATCATAAGTTTTCTAAAAAAACGAACGTCGGACGAACCATCTAACTGCCTAATCGTGAGTGGAATATTACTTCTTCTTTGCGCGAAATGGGGTTGCGCTTGTTGCGTAGATATTTCGCTTGCTGAGACGATCTTGTTGAATTTCTGCAGCGTCTCTTGGCCTCATTTCTTAGAAAAACTATAATAGTTCGTCGTGTATTCCTGTTAGGGCATTCATTATCGCCAGTTTCCTCTCCGAACCGCTAGGGTTAGTCATCTGAGCAAGGGAATGTCCGTCAGTACTAGGGTGGTGTGATGGCAGTCCACTTTGACATGCGTGAAAAGCTGGAAATGTTTTCTGAATATACACCTAAGGTATCGCAACAGAATCGTCCATACCCGATTCCTCCCTAACTGGATAATATCCCAACACCGTTCTCTCTAGCCAGTAAGCATTCGACTTGATCCAGGTGTTCGTAACTGTGTCGCCGTATTTACTTGCGGTTCATCCGCTCAAATAGGGTGGCAATACGACAACGGTTGCAAGCGCCTTTATGGAGCGGTGCCCACTGTGGCGATTCACCTGGTTGGCCGCAGAGTTTCATGCGGTGGAACTGCAGCAAGTGTTCACCTGGTTGCCGCCGACATTTCGTATGAGGATGGACTGGGCGTCCTCCACGCAACACCTCACAACTGAAAATCGTGAGTCGCTTCTCGTTCATGTAGAACTATTACCATTTCTTCACATGTTCGTATTCGTTTTTGGTGCTATCTTAGGTTTGGGGGGGGGAGGGACCATGCGGTGGCGCGGTGCTCTGGGGCCGTCAATCCTTTCCCCAGGAGGATGCGTCACTCTCCCCTAATTCGATGCTCCCCCAGTTTTAGGGGAGACAAAAAGGGGTTACCACCGTGTTCAACGGGTCCATACCACTGTGTTTCTATCTGCCACACAATTAGAGCGGCGCGACCCCTCAGAGAAAAGAACGCTTTAACAATGGGGGTAATCGCGCTGGTCTAACTGTCTAGTAGAAAGAAACACAGAGGTATGATGGAGCGGTGTGGATTGAATCAGAGGAGGGGGAGGCACCCCCTGGGTGATCCTCCAAGGCTTACCCAGTGGCGCGTATTTCAAAAGTGCCATGTGATGGCAAAATAGTACTGCCCCTGGGACTTAGCTTGGAGGAGCAAACGAACAGAGCGCCGAACTGCCGCGTGGTCCCCCAACTAAAATAGCTACTCCTTTTTTTTCTCTTTTTACTTACTGTTCCTATTGCTGGTTTCCCATTTGATGTTCGACAAGTCAAGGAACCGATAGGGTAGAAAGTTGTGACGCGTTGAGCAACTCTATTCGGCTGCATTGCGCCCCGAGTGTCCTCGGTTGTGGTTCACTAGATCTTAAGCGACTTTTCCGCGTTCCGCAACGCGAAACATTCGCTGCGGAAACCTCGGGTCCACTGGTGACTAGAAGTGGACCACCAGCGCAAAATGTTCCGCGTCGCGAAACGCGGAGAATTCGCTTTTTGTCCTGGTAAACCAAACCTATGTCCTCGATGTAGAGCAGCTTTGAAGAGGTCTCGTGTCGCAGAAGTTTTCTGTATGCTTCCACTTGTTCGAAGCATCCTGAGATCTGACTCATCAGTGTTCTCGCGCAGCCGCGTCTTGCTATCTCTTACTACTCTCTCAAAGCCAATAACGCTTGTTTCCTCATAATGCCACTAATACTAAACACATTGACGACGACATGGCCCACACGCGCGTCAGATTCACGGGATCAGGATCGTTTGTTCGATATGGCACATTTCTTTCTTTCGAGCTTAGTATACGTCTTCGCAGTATATCAATTACAGTATTGTGATTATTGAAGAAGTAATGAAACTTTTGAAAAAAAAACAAAAGTCCCGATTACAAGCACAACGGATGTCATCCATATGTCATACGGGTTAACGACTATTACGTCTTCAAGACCTTAGTTTGTCGACTAATTGTGGGAATATGTTCAATTAATGGTCTAGTGAATGAAACCATACCCATACTCTTGAATAAGTTGTTTATATTAGTATTGTTTTTTCTCAATCGCTCGCTCAAATTTTGTTGAGCGGGCCATGCCCTCAACAAACTTCCTTCAGTTAGAAACATTTTACCATTTCATAAAAGCGTAATCTTTTTCATCACGAAGCTTGAAAAACCAATGTATGCAGAGTATAACAAGCTTTCGATGTTCGAAAAGTTATTAAATAATTCAAATGTTATAATTTACACCCCATAAAGCTCAGACCGCCGTCATACTCGGCGATGGACAAGCGATGGAGCGATCGAATCGCTCCTTCGCTTATCCGTCGCCGAGTGTGACGGTGGTCTCAGCGGGAATGGGGAGATGGCTGAGGTTTTCGACCAACTGTCGGTCGTAACTTTCTTACTACCCAATCAAATCAGTTCAATTTTTGAAATCGGTTTTGTGTTTCCATATATCTCTATGCGAAGGCGGCCACTTTGTGCTCCATAATCGCTTTGGTTATTGTCGCAGTATCGAAATCGACTCTTATTTGGTTATCCCAATCGCGGAGTTGACCTTCCAAAACTCACGTGGGCGGTTGTCTAGATGCTTTCGTTTTGCCGTTCCAGCATTACATTTCGCCTAAAGTAATATATAGGAAATTTGAATTTAAGACCAAAACAAAAACCGGACAGCGGAAGCTGAGGACAACCCAGTGCATTATTCTCGTCTTCTGGTCTATCTGTTCGTAGGACAGCGCTTCGCGTGCCATACTCTATCCCTTTCACAAAAATGGTGCTTTTATCGAGCTGCTCTCTCAAATCGAGAGATGTTGTCGTAGAGATAGCAGCCACTGTAGTGCTATCGTAGGCCAATAGCATTTATGAGTTATTCATGAGTCATAATCAGGAGAGATTGTAGGAATTGTGGGAGAAGTGTGACCTCCCTTATCAAGCGCGAACCTTTCCCACTCGATTGATTCGGACTTTGTAGATGTAGCGTCAATGACATTGCCCACAAAGCAGTACGCTAATCAGGAAGATAATGAAAGCTATAAAAAGCGATGTAAGTTAGTTACACACCTAAGACATGTTCAATGTTTCCTATAAACGAATTCATTTAAGATTTCAACTCGATCATTAACTAGAGAATTGATGGATAGTCAGTACGTCAAGCGCCGTAGCACGAGAAGATGTGAAAGCAGGAATTAGATGTCACGACGCTAGGCTTGCGTCTCTTAATTCAGGTTTTCATTCTCTTATCGATTGTTTCAATGGTAGATTCCACGGTCAAAGTTTAGAGCGGAAATCTGTATTATGATGCAAGAAATACAATGCATGCTAGACAACGTTATTCAGTGCTGAAAACTGATTATTGCAAGTGGCATTGATTATTCGCTATTTCGGAGCATGCGTAAACTTTTTCCATGTCCGAACTAGATCTTTTATTTTGTTGACGGAATCATTACGATTTTCCTTACGTTATTCTTTCTTCCTGAGGTCACGATGTGGGATTCAAAGCTGTGCAGGTTGCCTGTTCCTTGGTACATTTTTGTTTTTTTTTCTTTTTATTCCTTTATTGATTTCTCCATTCTTGTCACGCAGGAAATAAGTTTTGTCCCTTTCAAATCGGCTCAAGCGTAAGTAATTGTTGTTCTAGCAGACTTTCTGGGTTCTCAAAGCAGTACCTCATTTAGCGTCGCCATTGCGGCAATAGTCAATGATGGATACCATACTAACCACCAGCTGTCTCAAAAATCGGCTAAATTACTCAGGCTGGTGTCAGAGTTCGCGATCCGTCGCAGGTTCACTGATTTTCGCGATTTGCGCAGAACCTGCGGCGGATCGTAAAAGTTGCAAGCGCCCATTAGTGAACAGTTGAAACGCAGAATAAGAAACAAAGTGAAATCATGAGCAGTCATCATTTAGCCATCACTATCAAGCAGAAGTGGCGGCGGGATTGGTAACCCCTTGTAGTATTGATCGGGCACTTGTGATTTTTGTGACCCCTCGCGTGAATCGCGCAAATCGCGAAAATCAGCGAAACTTGCGACTGATCGCGGACTCTGACACCAGCCTTACAGTCCAAATCATGAAGCAGGTTCTACAAAGATTCATAGTGAGAGGCACGACTAGTTCTAGCCCAGTCGGTATTAACTTCGAGCTTCTTTTGGTTTTGGCCCTGATCTATACCTATAATTTTCAAGTTTTTCTCATTATATTTTCACAATTATAGTTATCGTTTCTTGGTTACCGTTTAATATCAGAAGGTTAAGGTTTGCAGAACGTGAAATGCTGCGTCATTCATGAAGACGAGAAGCACGGCTATGATTACAGCATCATTGTGGAAGGCAGCGATTTCCGTGATGTACTTTCTCAGCCAGGATTCGATGGCCGTTTCACAAACTTCAGTAATGCCCTTTTCGTTGCTTAAGTTAGTTTTTTTGTGCCCAGTTGAATTATGACCTTTTCTTGTTGAAGTTTTCTTTTGAAGATTGTCATGCGAACGTGAATTTAATTTTTTCGTTTGTCCGCATTGTTTTAGTTTTTCAACAGGAACTGTTTTTCTTTTTGGAGTCGTTCGCTGGCCAGCGCCCTGCTGTGGTCCAGCCTGTCTGCTCCACCGTTCCTTGCTGCTCATACGAAGGAGCATTTAACGTTGAGCGGCAGTACCTTTCAATTTTTCTTGGCTGTGCTCTGTGAAATGATATTTTTGGCACGATACCGGCTACTCGGATCAGTACGAGTAAAAAAAAAGCTGAGTCACGATTTCTTTTCTGTCGAAAGCGGAAATCAACGGGGAAAAGGGGTCCCACCCTTGGGTTTCGTGTTTTTCGCACCATCCACCACAGCTTGTGCCTGGCGATCATTCAATAGCAATTGGCCGCGCTTACTCCGAACGACTAAGGTCTACTCCCAGAAGCCCTATTTTTGGGGACGACATTGTTTTTATTTCGAAGGCCCCTCTTCCTCTCCCTCCCACCTCTTCCACTGAAATCGTTGAACTCTTGGTTCTGTCGGCATTTCATGTGAACGCGTTCAATAGTTACAAGCAGATTTACCTAATAGAAAAGCCATGGATTTGCTTTGATCCCGGTAAAGCAATTTTCGTATAACGTTCTTCATAATAAGGAGAAATTTGATGGGTAGTTGAGCATACAAAGCAGCACTGCTAGGGCGGACTATGCTTGGCGCATTTTTGAGAAAGAAGCTTAGTTTCAGCGGAAAATAAAACTGATGATTGTTATAGAAGGAACTATGCTCTTGCTGTTAGTACGTTAAGGAATTGTTGGAGGGAGAACCATTGTAAAACAACCTCGGTTCGCCTATCGGGGATTGTGATCGTCTGTTCCGTCAAATGAATCGTTTCGTAGCTAGAATCATATTCTGGTGTGTTCACAGGGTTCCGGCTAAATGTTCAGATTTCGAATAGAATGTTACAAATTATGATAGAATGTGAATATTTGAGAACATATTGCTCACTCTCTTCGCCGCTTTTGTTGTTCGTTAATACATGTTCTGTTTGTTTAAAATTATTGTTGAATTTGCATAAATTTGTTTGAGACAACCCTTGCCGTTACGACATAGACGTGTGTTCGTTGCGAATGCTTTTCGGAACTTCTGAAATTTTAAGTTTTGATCGATTTCAAAAATTGTTTTGGGTGGATTGCCTCAGTTCATCTCTATGCAGCCCTATTGGTGTTATTCAGTGGTCTTCCCCTTTCTCTCTTTTACAGAAATGATAGCCTATCCGAAAGTTTGTTGGAAGGGAGGTAGGTTTTCCAACGTTGATCCAGACATTTACTTCTTTTCAGCGTGCTAGTAGTATACACAGTGGTGGGCTTTTGTTGTGTGTTCTTCATTTCTCATCACTTTCTCAGTCTCGAGTTTCTGTGAAGGTGGAAGTGTTATATGACCTTGAGCCATTACTGAAGAGAAAAGTGTGGTTTTAGGGGTTGTGAGCTCATTGTCCGGAATTTTTACTCTCATCCAATTGATTTTAGTCGATAAATTTCTCACTAGTGAGGGGAAGTCTTGTGACCGTCTTACCATACTACTTTCTCTTCTTGATTCTGTCATGAAAAGGTATCCTGCTCAATTATTCGACCGTGAACAACTGGAATTAGGTGTCGATCCCCACCATAACATCGTGGAAGCCGCACAATACTCAGCAACACTTCTCTGTTCTGAAAAAACCTTTCTCTATGACTTTTAGCTTTTGAAGACATCTGTGACAGGTGTGCCAACCATTTGGAGCTAGCAGCTCGTCGATGTCGGAGCGTGGTTGTCAGCTTGGCTGGGAGCATTCGTCATTTCATTATATTAGGATAGGTGGTGGCAGGTATGACGCTTTTACCTTCTGTGAGTTGGTTTTTGTAACTGTTAGGCTGGCCCATAAATTGTGTCGTTTTAGTTTAAATGAATAATTTTCTTCTCAAATTCTGCGCTTTTATACTATCTTATACCGTGTTCGAAAGACAATTGTCTGCTCTACAAGAAGCCATGTTTCGCTTCCACATTAGTTGCGGTGGGTTTTGAAATTGCAGGCCTGCGAAATGGGAGGTCCAGCCGAAGACCAGCTAAAGGGTCCAGATCCCTTTTCTTATAGGAGGATTCAGCATATGGTGAACCCCAACTTAGTCGCGACCTCTTCTCAACATTCCGCAATTAGGTTGTGGAAAAAGCTTTGCCGTATTTCTTCCAAAATTTGCCTTTTCTGGCTGACCCATGAGACATGGCGATTTTTAACTGTAATTCTTCCTCTAAAACAGCACTGTTTTACATCATGTGATATATCATTCGAGAGCGCATTTCCTGCCCTATTTATTTGCCTTGTTTTGATATTCCTTGAGAGTTAGGTCGAGTTTTAGGCCTGTGTGATAAGGTGTTTAATCCACGAAAATGGCCATGCTTTGATGAAATAGTCCTGGAAAAGATGAGGAAGTCAACAGGCATACATTAGTAACTTATTCATGACCTGTTCGTAACCTTCCTACTGTTTTTTTTTCAGCGTATCGCTGTAAGAAAAATTAGGTTAGATTTTCAGTGAGGGCTGAACCGTCGAGTTCGGCGGCGAAGCCCAATTCTGAGGGAACGACGCGATTTATGTGGAAAAATAGTGAATGGTAATTAAGTCGTGGCTGCGTTGAGGGTTCATCAGGGCTCGAACCTTCCAAAGAAAGCAACGAATTGAAGGAAACATGGCTACTTGTGGAGCAGACCTTTCCTGTGTCAGAACCATAGGGTTGATTACAAAACACGGTCTTCAGAAAAAACTTTTCGTTTCAATAAAAACACACTGCTATGGCAATCTAATTATCGAGCTCTTTTCCGAATGTTTTCTAACTAGCTTTTTCTTCTGCTCTTCACTCGTGTTGATTTGCTTCTGCGCATGCTTTGCGGTTCAGGAGTCATAAGTCTCATGCTGTTTGGCCAAGATGTGCGGAGATTCCACCGGTTCGGTGAAAATATCCTATATGGGCACCCGGTAAGTATTACTGCCGGGCAGATAATTCTAACAAGGGAGAATCAGCGAACCTTGGTTCCGGCCATCTGAAGGCGGGTGTACTGCAACTGTCCCGCTGCTTACCTGCAACGATGACCCGATATCTCTATGGCCCTTTTTGACACCTGGCCAGATGATTATTGAGTTCTTTCTACACCATCTCATCACTCTTTGATATCTTGGCGATAGATGTACTATTTATTTCATCTCGGTCCTTCGCTGGAGAGACGTATTACTGCTGGGAGTACGCATTACGAGTGGATGCCGCCGCTATTTTCGATACTGTAAGACGCACATGCATGTAATGGGTTATCAGTCGTGAGGCCAGTCCTTGACAATGGTGGAAAGAAGTTGTAATTTTGGCAATAAACTTCTCCATAACGTCTTCGTCACGTTATAAGTATCCGGGCAGCAGTCCCCGTTACATTTCGCAGCCTCACTGTTCATAAGAAATACGGCTGCTCTATCCCACTTGTCATGATGGCGGGTTTTCCGAGGTGGGAACGGGGTCGTGGTATTCGGAAGTTAAAATGGAATTGACTGTGGGGGTTGGTGTTTTCCCAGGCTGCTTTTCTAATGCTTTGGTGGAAATTAAAAAAGTTATGCATGATGTGGTCAAAATTCAGAGGATTTGTCCCATTTCATTAGAAATATCCCCCTTTTGACGGCCGTTCGCGGAGGAAAGTGGGCGAATAAGCTGGTGACTTCCTTGAAGAACTTCTGTTACTACAGTTGCGCTTGTCAAAGTTATGTGCCCAGCCCTCAAATTTCCGTTTGAAATGGAACATGAGGTTTTCGGTGCTATAAATTCTTCTCAATCGAGTTCTCGGGAGTTATAATCTATTCAATTGGGAAGCAAAGAGATGACTATCGCTTTCACTTATCAAAAAAAAAAATCTGGTTATGAAAAATTTCTTCTTTGTTTCAACCAAAAAAGTATTGCCACTGAACAAAAAGACAAAACATTAGCGGAAATTAGAAATCAGTGGGGCCTCAGAGTTTCTAATATAGCGCGAACATCCTGTCGGCATAATCTGAACCACGTTTGGCATACTGGTTTCGTCGCTGTCGGCCCAAATAGGCCTCTACGCGCCGCCTTCATTCAGCTCTAAGGGCCGGACGTATATACTGCCGGTTGCTAAAGTTGACTGCTCTGATCAAGGCTCCTATAGGGTTGCCAGTAAGAGAGGACCACAAGCCAATCTACGAATGCACACCATTTGGTTAAGGCTCGATTCTGTTGTAGATGGCCGAGCATTCGAAAACACATCGCGGTCGCTGGTTGCGAAAAATGCAATTTTCGCTCCGCATTCGCTAAGGAAGGGCCAATAGGTGCGCATTCGACACTGCTTGGTATTCTTTACAGTTCAATACGCCAGTAATGGAATGCCTGCACATTTCTGAATTTCCGCTGTGGGCGAAACCGCGCCGTCAGAGACCCCATCAACGGGCCGTCCTTCCCAATTCCTTTGGTTCTCGAGAGCACGAGCGACTCACAGCCAAGCCTCTCGTGAGTAGCGAAACTCCCACCCGGCCGCGTCAAGTCGGAACTCTTCCATGAGTTAAGATTACCGTGAGTGAAAAGTCACATAAAAATAATGCTTTGTTGTAAATAGGAAATTTTGCGAAAAGCGTTCTTCGGCCGATGTCCTTCCTTGTTGCCGTGTCTGATACGAGCAGACATCCCAATGTGGCCCTGAACTTGTGCTAGGCCTTGAAAGTGCTAGGCCTTTCTCATTGTCTGTCGAGTGGTGTATTCATTTGAGCCGGCTGAGCGGCTATGGTCAATTTCGAGCGTGGGAATACAAAAAATGAGCGCGGGACTATCAATGAAGAATCCGAACAGGATATGGCTACTCTTTTGTTTTCTGAGCATCAAGGATCCGTGATCGGAGCGGAAGTGTGGTGCTGCGTATATCACCAGGGTG